CTTTCTTATTACCTAATGCCTGGGAGGTCTTTACTCGTAAAATTTCCTTGCTTGCTACTGCCAAAATTAAAGCCTTAATACCACAACAAGATCTATGCTAAGTTCACAAAGTCACAGACTTGTTCTGTGACCTTTGACAAAGTACTTTATCACAAGCGTTTATACGACTGGGGTTTCAGCAATGTATTTATAGGGTCCTACACATTGCAAAAGAAACCTCCTTTATAAGTGAAAGTATAAAATAGAATCAGAGAATGATTTGTTTGGAAAGGACCTTAAAGACCACTCAGTTCCAACCCCCTGCCATGGGCAGGGACACCTTCCACCAGACCACGTTGCTCAAAGCCCCATCCAACCTGGCCTTGAACACTTCCAGGGATGGGGCAACCACAGCTTCTCTGGGCAACCTGTGCCACTGCCTCACCACCGTCACTGGGAAGAACTTCTTCCTTATATCTAAGGAACTAGAGAATCCCCTCCCTCGACCCTCTGGCCACACTGCTTGTGATGCAGCCGAGGACACAGTTGGCTTTTTGGGCTGCAGGCACACATTGCCAGGTCATGTTGAGCTTCTCGTCAACCAGCACTCCCAAGTCCTTCTCCTCAGGGCTGCTCTCAATCCATTCTCCACCCAGCCTCTATTTGTGCTTGGGATTGCCCTGACCCATGTGCAGGACCTTGCACTTGGCCTTGCTGAACTTCATGAGGTTCACACGGGACAACCTCTCAAGCCTATCCAGGTCCCTCTGGATGGCATCCCTTCCCTCCAGCATGTTGACTGCACCACACAGCTTGGTGTCATCGACAAACTTGCTGAGGGTACACTCAATCCTACTGTTCATGTCACCGACAAAGATGTTAAACAGCGCTGGTACCAATACCAACCCCTGAGGAACACTGCTTGTCACCAGTCTCCACTTGGACATCGAGCTGTTGACTGCAACTCTTTGAGTGCGACCACTCAGACAATTCCTTATCCACCAAGTGGTCCATTCATCAAATCCATGTCTCTCCAATTTAGAGAGAAGGGATGTCATGTAGGAACAAGGATGTCACGTGGGACATAACATAATTAGTGTCATTTTGCCCCTGATACAAAAATTGCAGGTAACGCTTTTGTTCCTTACATTTAATTTATATACTTGGTAACTCTTTGAATGGGATAGCTCAGCAGTCCTCCAAAGGATGCATGTATACAAAACCTGCGCAATGGCCTCCAGTTGTAACAAGGGTCCCTATGAAAATATAAATATCCTTTGGCAGGATTTTTTTAATTAAATATTAATTCTGGAAAAATATCCCTGTCTACTGGCAGGGATACTCTCAGGTAGATTAAGTCTGAAAGTAAAAAATGCTGTTATATTTGCTAGTTACGGTAAAGGACATAAAATGGTACATTGCAGGTTTTTAACCCCAGATTGGCTGTAAAGCTTCAAATGTTCAACTTATTTGCTTCAATTTCATAGCCTCTATAACCTTTAAGATATCGACAAGATTTCTGCAGACCAAAAGCTCACCAAAGTCTTAGGTAAGATGTACCCCCAAATTTCCCAGCTTGGAATTAAAATAAAATTCTGTAACATAGCTCTGGGAAAAGAAACCCTCAATGGTACAAAATGTAACTGCCTCTCCAAGCCCACAGCTATATCTAAATGTCCTTGTGACAAGACCTTAAGGTATTCAGAGGAGTGAGATAGATGCTGCTTTTTACCTTTTTCTTAAAGCACTCCAAAAACACCAACAGCCCTTTTGATCTTCAAAGGTAGTGTTATTGGATTGCAGACTACAGCACGATAAAGAAAACTCAGTTCTGCTAGGTGAAACATGAAAATTGCAAATAAATCTCCTCCCTGCTCATTATGTCTGTGCATGGCATAGCCTTTCTTCTTCCCTTGCTCTCAAGTCCAGCAGTGTTTCCCAAAGTTACAACCATCTGTAGCTACAGAGGTTCCTTTGGATCCCTAGGAAGTTTTCCTTTTTCTCTTCCCCTTTGAAACTCAGATGTGAGCCTTTCTACGACTCTTCTCCACATCCCCACATGTGCTGCAAAATCCCAGCTCGCTGTCTCCTTCCTGCCTAACTCCTCCCCTGGGAACTTCCCCAAATGAGCTTTTCTCAGGTGCTTTCTGGCACTGTCTTTGTCTCACCCCCAAAAATGCTCAGGCAGACTCAATATTCAGTGACAGACAGGTAAACACAAGGAAACAGTGCTCCTCCTGCTGCGTAGCCAAGTCCTTTGATCAGAAAAGGCCAGCAAAATACAGTAAAGGGTGATGAAACACAGACAAAAGGTATCATCTCCACTAGAGCTTGGAAAACAACAACATGCTTTTCAGGCTGCGCTGAGATGGTTCACTCAACAGAAACCTTTTCCACTGGTGTCTATGCTGCCACTAAAAAAGTCCCTTATAGCAGTGAGTACATTTAACTGTGCATCTCACTAATACCAGACACTAGGGCTTTTTTGTATATTCATAAATTTTCTGCTTAGTACAGAAGGAGCCATTTCTGTAAAATTAAGTGGAGTCTTACTTTTGGTGCATGCTGCTGTTGTTTGTAAGGAACTAGTGTCGAGGGATCTCTCTCAAACACATTGATGCACTGCAGAAATGCTACCAAAAAAAAAAATCAGGAGAGTTTGGGACATAGAATGTATACAACCTAGATGATCCCAAACACAGTCACATCACTTTAAAATATTACTCTGATTTTGTGAGATTAAAGATTAAGTTATTATTTCTTTCTTTGAACTCTTACTCTGAGATGTCTTAGAGAAGATCTGGCAGAACCCAATCTTCACTGTATTTAAACATATTTTCTGAATCCTTATCTGTTCAGATATGGTTTACAGAGACTCACGTCTTGGTTTTTGTCAAAGATAACTGAGGGTTTACACAGGTCTAAACATAATTCTTCATATCAGCAATAAGACCTGAGGAAACTCTGAATTGCAGCACTTTATACTGAAGGGATCCTTAAATGATTCTTTTCTTCTCACAATCATTCAAGAACTTGAAAGTCCAGGGAGTAGCCTCAGATCTCTCATTCCTATAAATTTAGCAGAGGTCACAGCATGGCCAATTCAGCTGAAAAGTGTTATTACAGAAAAATTTGATGATACTTTTATGTTCACTGATGTGAACATAATTCTCTGGGTCTTTTAGCTACATATAGCATGTCTTACCCATAGAGACACTTCAGCAGATATATATGATGCCATGAGCAAAGTTAAAAGTGATGAATTCTCTGATTTATAACTTCTACTGATAACAAGATGATAGAAAATCTTAAATGTATGGGTGTTATTATATACACTGTGTAACTTCACTCAGCAAAGAAGGGATGTGAAAGAAAAAAAAAAATTTATCACACTGAACTAGGGGGACGCTTCCTTGAATGACCCTTGTTGTCTGTAAAGAATTGACCTGATCTCTAACCAATGCACAAAAATCTTAAAGATAGTGTTTGCTTTGTAGGTGCTAAGTGTGGATGGGGGTCTATAATCCTTCTTACTTTTAAGGCTCACACAGAGGAAGAAAGATGAGTATATAGAAGAGCTTTTTTTCTTGACAGATTAAATCTTCTAGAGAGATCTCAAACGGCTGAGTGGAAATAGCACCTCCTAAAGATCAACCACTGGATTTTAACTACATAGGCACAAGAAATTAATTATTGTAACTAAACTCATTAGTGAGGAGGAGCTAGACAAACAGGCCAGATCCTCTTCCTTCCATTTGAAAGCCTTGGTGATTGGTAAAACTGGGCTCAAGTGAAAGTCCCTTGGTTATACCCCATTCAAAGCAGAGGCTGCATTCATCCACATTAGGCTGCAGTTGCGTATCAGTGCCGTAAGGGTCCTCACCACTGGTCTCGGTGTCACCCAAGAGTTTAAGTACACAGCCTAGGTAAATATTAATTTGTTAATCTTCATTAGAAATCTCCTTTTAAAGCTGATTCGCAGTGAAGTCACTTAGATGAAATCATCGCACACTAAACAATCCTGTTAGGGATGTTTATCCAAGCAAAGGACATTCGATTATGTTTTCATTAGTAGCACTATATGGTTATTGTCCTTAAAGACAAGGCTTTTAGACATAATCTATCTGCTTACAGTTGAATTTTCTTAAGAAATAAAAGCTAATTTTTACTACTTTTTGGTATTACAAAACCAGGTTGCCTATAGATGAATAAAACAAAGATTTGAGGACCAAAGGTAGTCCTGCCCAGTATCACAGCTCTGCCAGTGCAGACAACTCTGTGAAACTTTAAGAAGTTGTGGGTTATCTAATTCTAATGCTGCACGTTATAAAGTAGAACATTATTTAATGAGAAAGCCACTGGCTGTGATGAACAGCAGGCAATTTATCTATCAGGAAAAGAGTATTTTTTTAAAACAGAAAATACGATGTTTCTCTCTGTGAAATTCTAGAAGCTCAATAAGATGGGGAAGATGGTTGATCTCATCCTTTTTACTTCCTATAGCAGTTTTCTGGAAGGACAAGTCCTCCCATTAAATGAGGGAGAGGGTTTCTGGTTTCCTTGCCTTGTGTCACTCTCTGCTTTCCTACACGTGGGACAAAGGCAGCAGAGCCTAAGGCAGAGTTCACCACTGGCTTACTGAAATAAGTAAATAGCTGTCTGAGACTCCTCCTTCAAACTCAATCCGAAGACAGCCATGGATTTTGGGAGCCTTTATTTTTTAAAATGGGGTGGGGGGGAGGGGAAATATAGTTTCTTTCCTAACAGTGATTTTTAGTTTATTATCTGCTCTCTTGACTATCCCTTCCAGGAAGATGATACTGCATTTATATATATTTTATATAACATAAGTTCACATGTATTTGTACTGATTTTTGTAATGCTAACTTTAACTAAAGTCAGGGTATATTTTACTTAGAAGTCAGTTTTCTCCATTTATCAGTTACAGAAACATTTCTACCTAACAAAAGGTGTGTGTGTATATATATATATAGTAAATAATGGTTTTGTTTCTTCTACAGCTTTGCAGTAAAGGTGCTGCCATAGACAATGCCTTTGAGCCATCTCCAGAAGATATTTCCAGTATCGCCAGTTTTATTGAGACAAAGCTTGTAACCTGCTACTTAAAACTGGAAAAGCCTGATGATGCTCTGAATCATTCACACAGGTAAGAATAAATATTGGTTAGATACACTGCTAAGACTGAAATCAAAAAGTAAACAAAGACTATGAACAAATTCTGTGCAGGAAGAATCAGTCTAATAATGAGATAAGAGGAATTGATAAAACACAACTTACACATGGCAGTGATGTTTAGATTGGACTAATTCTCAAAATCTGCAACATTAAGCCACAATAGTCATGTATATTTTTACTGCTTTGATAATGCAGCAGGTAAGGATATTACAGTTAAGTCATGTACATAGTTCAGGGCACCCTTAAGATTGAAGCTAGACAAATACATGCTCAGCCTTATATGACAGTAATGATATTATGAGCTCTTGATCTTTTTCAAGCCAGATTAGGTCAGGGATGGCTTCAAATTATTTTCATTACGTAAGTCCTCATGGGCCCACTTGTGATCCACAAAGACCAGCACCACCAGCAATGCATAAAGCCAGAAACTAAACTTGCTCATGGTGGAGATGAAATTCCCATTAGTTGCAGATGACTTAGGATTTTGCTGGATTTGTGCTGCCTTTAATTGGCATTCAGACATAACGATAGTTTCCGTTAAGCATGTGCATGTCCTGCCAGCAACACTTCATTGAGGTCTCCATTCATTTTTTCCCTTGTATGAGATGTATTAAGATGTACACCAAAATTAATGTAGGGTGAGAATTTTTTCACACAATCATCTCAAATGAATGTAACTACAAAAGGAGTCGTTACAACAAAAGAGGAGGCACATGCTTATGCCTAATTAGCAGGAGAGAGTGCTGAAGATTAACGTATTGGTATAGAAATACGATGCTGTCACACCAGCGGGTTCATTTAGTTACACGCAAAGTCATGGGAAGTCTGAGAATCCTGACTTAGCGACGAGGTCTTCGTCTCCCGTCCTCACTCATCTCCACCTCTTTCCCCAAGCATTTTTTGTCTGTAAAGCTATGCCTACCTGGAGCCTGTACACATTGTGGGGGTGCACCCTTCAGACTAGTTCCAAGTACCAACCTGGGTTGACAGCCTGCATGCCCATGAGTGGTTAGAGAATGTTAGGTGAACTCCCAGGGCACATCTCTCTCTGGGTTGACAGTCTGCATGCCCATGAGTGGTTAGAGACTGTTAGGTGAACTCCCAGGGCACATCTCTCAGGGACGCAACCTGTATTCTTTTCAGGTGAAGCATTCTGTTAGGTGAGCCAAAGCATAGCAGGGAAAAGTGGAGAAGCAGCAAAGTAGGGAAGACTGAGATTCCTGTTAAAAACCCAAAAAGTAAAAAAACCCCACAAACCAAAAAACAAACAACCCAACAAAAAGAAAGATTTTTTAAAAAGTGCATTCCTCATGCAAACTAAAAACAAACCATATTTTTTCATGACTTCTCAAAGAGCATGTTAGAAAAGAAAAAAAAAAAATATACATATCAAGTTTAACTGAACTCGTAGCTTTCAGAAAAATGGTACTGATCGCTCTCTTGTTCTAACTGTGATTTCCAAGAACACTAAAATAAGGAAGCTATTTGGACAGTATAAATGTAACTAGAACTGGAAACACTTTTCTTTACCTTCTTTAAATTATCTTGATTTCAAATTAGTAAGATGTATTGACCCCAGTGCTACAGAAACTAAAGCCTATTCAGACATGCTTTGGTTTCAATTGTCTTAAAACAGAAACCTACAGAGAAAATAAGTGCAGTCAGATTGAGATCATTGGAAAACTGAAGGAGGGAAAAATTCTTCACCTTTCTTTCTTACATATAATTATAACAATTTGTTCTTAATTCCTTTAGTTACATAGCACAAAGAAAAGCAGCAATCACTAATGCCTGTTTTCAATAGAATTCATTTAATAACTTGCAGAATGGGAATAAATCTACTGACCATAGTGGTCACATTGTAAAATGCAGGAACTGATAAAATAGTATACCAGTAAAAAAATATTCTGAGACATAATTAACATAAAGACAAAACTTGAAATACAATCAATAGCTATATTTTTCAAAAAGAACAAATAAATTACTCTGAGCTCTCCTACTAAAAATAGCTTACTGCCATCAGTTAACTAGCGCATTTAGAATTTTTATTCCCATTGAGTTTTTATGTCATCACCACATTGTAATGGTTTGCTGGTAATCCTTTGGCATTAATCATGAATCCAAATTAAAATATTCGTTTCTGCATTTATTTGCATTTACTGAACTATTCTTTCTTTAATTTCATGCAAATTTCACAGCTCCTGCATTCATTTCTGAAGTCTTATTAGCCAAAAATCAGCTTTAATATTCTCAGATATAGTTGCAAATATATAGAAGTGCATTTTGCTAGGAAGAAATCTCGCAAAATATCACAACTAGAGAAACAGAGAAAATAGATAAAAATTCCAGCAGCTAGGATTTACAGTGTTCAAGAACAGGCATCTGCAGGGGAATAGCTTTCCCATTCTTAAGAAAGGGAAGGAAGTACAATTTATATTATCAGCTTTAGATCCTGTATGAGGAGCCAAGTCTGGGTCCTCCTGAAAGGTGGAAATTGTACTCTCTGGTTGCTTAATATCAAAATCTAAGGCTGCCTTCAGCATCAGTGGTACAGTTGAGGACACCGCCTGGGTTCTGATCATTTGTCAGGCTGATCAAAAGATTTATCCTCTGCGATCAAACACTATTCAAACCACTTCTCATCCATCACAGCTCTGAACAAATGTGCCATGGATTGACCTCACCAAGCAACATCTGCAGTAACCTACTTGACCACCACTTTTCATCATAAGATAGCCATCAAGATAATTCTTAACTTGCAATCTGAAGCTATAAAATGAATGACACAATATTTACATGCCCTGTGGTCCTTTTGGCCCAGGCATTATGGCATACCAGGGTTTAATGATCTTAATAACCCCATATGGCTTGCTGAGAAATTAGATTTTCCCTTTGGTTGCAGAAGGCAATTTTCAATTATAGCAGATGGCAAAACAGTGAAGGTCTGAGAAGTCAAGATCTGACTAAGAAACCTCAGATTAGTACTTAGGCCTTATGTTGCTCAGCCTAATAATGTCAGTGGTTGAATTTTTGCCCCAAATGGAAACAATCTTGAAGCAGAGCAGAGCATTTCAGCAGAGCAGTCCCTCAATTATGCCTGCTCTTCAGAGGGCCAGGCCCAACAGAGAAATCCACAAAGTCACAATCACATGTGGAAAAACAACCCATGGTTTATTGCGTACACAGCTCAGCAACAGTTAAGATTCAATTTTGTTTGCAATTGGAGAGAGTGATGCTGAACTCCATGACAATTGAAGATGAAGGATCCTTCAAAACATGATATACGTGACTTTCTCAATGAGACTCTATATCCCCGTACAGTTTCTTTGTTTATTTTGTGTTGTGGGTTTTTTTTCCTTCAAGCAAGCTAAAATAAATCTGCAATGATACCATGTGACTTGCTCTTTGCACATGGGAAAATAACACACAACTTTTCTATTGGAAATATGCTTTTTGCCACTGCACTTATACTTCCTCAGCTTCTGTGGTCCTCATGGCACACAAGATTTGAAGAATGACAGACACAAGGCTTGATCCAGTTGCCTAAACACAGACTGCTCTTTGTAGAGATCCTGTACATGGATCATATGCTAGAAAACGTGGAAGAGATTAATGTCACCTACCCAGCAGCAAGTGACAAAGGGCATCACTCCCCACCCAGCTGTAGTATGGCTGCTGGTGCCATAGGAGTCCTCTGGAAATAAGCTCCTCAGCAGGGGAACCAGGCTGCCCACCATAAGTAAAAAAATCACATCTCTTCCCAATGGGATTGCTGTCATGCCATAGAAAACCCACAGCTGGTGGTGGGAGGTGCATTGGTAAGTGCTGTCTGGAAAGGTGTTTGCGACCTGCCTCCTCCCAGAGCATCTCTGGGCTTTGCTCCCTGCCCTTCTTCCCTCAATCTGGAAATTGTAGATGTAAAGGGCCAAGGGGAGGAAGAGGAATCGGACATTGTGGCATGTTTCTTCAACGTTATCTCTGAGTAATGCCTGAAAAATATGCTTATGATAATGAGGACTGTTGTACAGAGCTATTCAAAAATCTTTGGGGGTTAGCAAAGATTTTCCTGTGTCCTTGCTGACTCTGCTCCGCAGCATGACCCACTGCCAATTCTCTCTCTCCCTCCCAGAAAGGCAACGCATAGAGAATGCAATAAATCTGTAAAGCTTTTTCTGCTATGCCTTTTTATGTGGTTGGTGGAAGGCAGGGCTCTCTAATGCCTCTTGCACAATTCATAGGGAGACACATGAAGTAGAAAATAGCACCTCTGTTAAGTAGTACACGATTGCTTTAGTGATGACTTAACAGAGGGAATCTCTTATGGAGGCACAGCAGGGGGGGGGGGGGGAAGAAAATCTAAACCAGCTGAAGCCTCACAGATTTAATTCTAAATCCTCTGCATTTTTCCCCCAGTGACTTTTCAAACACTTACAAAAGGTTTAAAATAATTATTAATGATCAAGCTCTATGCAATATCTGTCAGAAAACAAGGCATCTCAAAACTTAGTGTATTATAGACAGCATCAGTCAGAACTCTAATCCAGATTAATTCAGAACTTTCAGACTAAAAATTCAATATTCAGCTACTTCTTTATTCCCTAGGTTCCTTATTTTTCACCTTTAAAATAGGACTCTATAAAAGTTAAGTCGAAGAATGGAATTGTAGTGAAATATTAAATAATCAAAATAAATAATGCAATGATGCTATGATACAGTGCAGTCAGTGGGCATTAAAATGGAGACAGAATAGAAGAAGAGCATAGATTCTTAGGTAGAAATAGAATAACAAGAAACCTAATGGCTGATGCTGCTAATCTGTGGGAATTCTGTAGTGTAACATATACTTTGCTCTAAACTACTCTCCTAAACTCTTTACCTCCTCAGAAAAGCGAAGAAAAAAAAAAGATAAGAATTAGCAGCACCTAATTACTTCAGCAATTGTGTTAAGCATATTGCAATATACATAATACA